CAATTTAATTCAAATGATTTAAGGGTGATAGACCAGTGACTACCACAGGTGGTCAATGTCCAAGTTGTGCTTGATCTTAATGTGTTGCTGATTGTATCAGTTGGGGTAAAGCATTGCGGTCGATTTAATGAGCTGTTTTCTCTGATGTTATGAAGATGAGAATGTCTGTGGGTCGTTAGAGACACAGAAGCTATGGCGCAAATATATCAGGAAGATCTGGGTGATAACCCAGAGATTAAATCAAGGACAGTCCGACAACAAAAATAAAAATGAGAAAAAACTTAAGCAAGACACAAGGACAGACTTCCAGTCCGCCAATGGCAAACAGTAGGGCAAATGAGGATGAAAAGGCCAATAGTGAACCACCAGCATACCCTGAACTCAAAGCACAGGAAGTAACAAAACAGATCAATAAGGCTCTAGAAAAATTCAAAGCAGAACTAATTTCCCAGATAACCATAGAGATAGTGAGCAAAATGGAAGTTGTGATTCGAGACTCTAGAGCAGAAACTGACAAAAAAATAGATGAGCTCAGGACCACGATAGAAGCCATGAAGGCCCAGCATAAGAAAGAAATGGAAAAAATAAACGCCCAACATAGGAAAGAAATGGAATCCATAAAACAGATTCAAACAGATATCCAGGAGATTAAACACTCCATAGAAAGTGTACGCAACAGAATAAAAGAATGCGAAGATAGACTCTCAGATATAGAAGATAAGATTGCAGTCAGTGACCATGAAAAGAGAGGTCTCTTAAAAACAGTAAGAGATCATGAGAAATCGATCCAACAACTCCTAGATGATGCAAAGAAGAATAACATAAGACTGACAGGAATCCATGAAGTAGCAGGAGAAAATACAAATGACTTTAAAAAGCTGTTCAAAGAATTAATGACAGAAAACTTACCAAACAGAGGGGAAGAATTTGACATTCACATAACTGAGGCATATAGGACCCCAACTAGCTACAATCAAAAAAAATCTACACCTAGACATATAATAATCAAGATCCCAGAAACTCAACAGAAGAACAAAATACTGCAAGCAGTAAGAGAAAAGAAACAAATCACATACAAAGGAAAGCCCATCAGAATCAAAGCAGACTTTTCAACACAAACCCTTGGGGCAAGGAGAGCCTGGAATGAGATATTTCAAGTACTAAAAGAGAACAACCTCCAACCTAGACTGATGTATCCAGCAAAACTCTCTTTCAAAATGGATGGGGAAATAAGACACTTCCACGACAAAGAACATCTGAGAAACTACATGAATACCAAAGCAGCACTACATGTAATTCTAAACAAGATCCTAGAAAAATACAATGAAGGCAACAACACCATAAGGCCCAACAGAGCAAATCAAATAGGCAAGGCAAGAAATTAAAAGGAGAATGTGAAAAAGTAAAAAGAATCGAGAAAAGGCCAATAACATATCAATAAGTCAGTACATATCAGTTATAACCTGCAATGTCAGTGGCCTCAACTCACCAATCAAGAGAAAAAGACTGGAAAAATGGAATAAGAAGCAAAATCCAACAATATATTGTATACAAGAAATACACCTAGTGCAAAAAGAAGCCCAGAGATTGAAAGTGAAAAGATAGAAAACAATTCTCTATGTGACAGGAGACCAGAAAAAAACAGGGGCAGCAATCTTATTGGCAGACAAAGTAAATTTCAAACCAAAACTGATTCTAGTATTATTGATGTAGGACGGTACTGTATCATACCTCTATGAATGTAAAATATCTTATACCTGCTTTATGATACATAGTAGGGACCATGCTTTATCAGAGCTACATTTCATGATATTACTCTAGAATGTTTTCTTTCCAGATGATGATTAAGATGCTAATAAAAAAAAAAATTGTTCCAGGTACCACAACAGCAACAGAACTTTGCTGTTTTCTGGATATTATTCTTTTCTTTGTTTCTTTTTGTTTTGTTTTGTTTTGGTTTAATGGAATGTGCTGAATGTCTATAATTTTGTTCAGATGACTGCAGAACCTGGAAAAGCTCTTGCTGATATCGATGCATTACATACTGCTATTACTAGTCTTTTTATATGAATATATATATATATATATACATATATATATACATAAATTGAATTTGGGGAAACTTTAACGGTGCTGCCAATTTTGTAAAATGTCATCCCAATTTACTGTGTTGAGTTGGTATTGTACAGAAATGGACAGCCATATTGGTCTAGAAATGTTAATTTTTTTCATTTTTATTTTTTATTTTTTTTCCATGTATAAAATGAAAAAAAAAGAATAAGATAAGACTATAAGAGCAAGAAGCAATTTAAATATGTTCAGGCACCATTTTCATCTCCAGAATTAAGGATTATTTTAATGTTTTATCATTGCCTTTTCTCTTTTACTTTCCTTTTTAGTTTTATTTTAGGATTCCCTATTTTTAATGTTCATACAGAGATTTCTTTAACTGAAATACCAAATAGTTTCTTTGGTGTGAAAAACTATAATAGTACACAGGATCCTAATGACATAATTAATAATGTGAAATAGGAAGTAAAGGGCTAAAGGTGTAGGGAAAGTGGGAAGGGTGGGGGAAAGGTAATAAGGGAGAGGAAAAAAATATGAGAAACTGAAAAATGGAAATAAAGTATTTGTAAATGGGGAGGGGAGTGGGGGGTGAAGGGAGGGCAGGGACAAGGGGAAAAAATGAGAATCAAGACCTATTATGCAAAGGTACAGAATCCCAATGATGAATGTAACTGTATTGTATTCCTAGATTGCACCAATAAACTCAATAAAAAGAAAAAAAAAAGAACTTATAAAGAACCCAAATTTAAAGACCAAAGCCAAAAATGGGCATCTGAAATGAACAGACATTTCTCACACAAAGAAGTAGAAATGGCAAATGAACATAAGAAAAAATGTTCATCATTTGTCATTTGAGAGATACAAATGAAAACGACACTGAGATTCCACCTATCATGAAATCAACCAATAACAAATGCTGCCGGGGCTCCCTGGGATCTGCACACACTGACCAATGGTATGGTGGGCCTCTAGAACTCTTAAAGATATATGTGTAGGGAAATACTTTATGAACAAAACCCCAACTGCACAGGAAATATTGTAAAGAATTAACAATTAGGATCTCATCTTATTAAAAAACCTGTTGTATAGTAAAACAAATTATCAACAGCATGAAGAAACAATTAACAGATTCAGAAGGAAAATTGCCAGCTGTTCCTCAGAAAAAAGGCTAATATCTAGTATATACAAAGAACTTAAAAATCAGACACCCCAAATTTAAAGACCCACCAAAATGGGTATCTGAAATGAATAGACACTAATCAGATGAAGAAATACAAACAGCAAATAAATATATGAAAAAATGGCCAGGAATTTAGCTCAGTGGTTTTGCCGCCTGCCTTGCAAGTGCAAGGACCCAAGTTCGATCTCCTATACCAAAAAAAGAATACTGTAAAAATATATGAAAAAATGTTCAACACCACTAGTCTTTCAAGAGACACAAATAAAACAACACTGTGATTCCATCTCACTTCAGGAAAAATGGCTATTATCAAGAAATCAACCAATAACAAATGCAGGAGTGGCTATGGGGAAAAAGGAACCTTTCTCATACCACAGTGAAATCTGAATACACATGTTTATTCCAGCTCAATTTATAATAGCTAAATCTCAGAAAAAGCCAACATCTCCAATACTGGACTAATAAATTTTTTTATGCAACTGAGCATTATTACTCTGCCTAAGGAAGGATAAACCTGAGACACTTCTAGGTAAATGGAAGTACGTTGAGAACATACTCTTATGTGAAATAAATTGGATGCACATGTTTAGATATTGTACCATTGCTCTAGTGTGACAAATCAAAAGGATAAATAAAATCCAAACTAGATACTTGGAAATAGGAAAATAATGTTCAAATGAGAAAGGGAACAATGAAAGGAGGAAGGAGAAGTATGGAAAGGAAAAGAAAAGAAAAGATAGCAGGAGGGAAAAAATGGAAACAAGAATTTTGTTAATAGGGAGGGGAAGAGGAGTTAAAGGGAGGAGAGAGGATTGGGAAAAAAAGAAGCAAGATATATTATTCACAAGTACAACTTTGCTAGGATGAATGTAATCATTATGTGCATCTAAATTGTACCCATAAAATTGAATTTTAAAATCTACAAAAGAAAAGAATAACAAAAATTTACAGCTAAGAGTAAATCCACAGCATTGTATTATCAGAGAAAATGCATCTGTTATATGGAAAAGACCTCTTCAGCACTATGCCCACCACATGCAAAGTATCAATCAATGCACATATGTTACTTTAAAGAGGAAAATTTCACCAATGCCTGATATCACACAAAGTTTTCCTGATTTTGCTGTTTCTAAGTAGCACACTGTATCAGCCAGGACAGTGTATGACTGCAATCCCAGCACTCTGTCGGCTGAGACAAGAATATCACATGGTGGAGTCCAGCCCAACAAATTGGATGACTTAGTGAGAGCCTTAATGGGTATATGAAAAAAAAAGTGTCTGAGGATATTGTTCACTTTGGAGATGCAAAGTACAAATGCAAGGAATGCACAAGTAAAAAACTAATACACAAATGATATGCAGATAATACATTAATAGATGCTTAGATAAAGTTAATAAATTAGTAAATGGCCACTGATTTATTTAGTATGAAGATACTAAATCGTGAGCCATAAGGCTCATGGCTAAATGGCTAAAAGATGGGCCATAGGTTCTTCTTATCAGAGAGGAGAGTCAGGTTGTAGAACTCCAAGACATGACCTCACTTTCTTGGCAACATCTCCAAACAGAACTCAGAACCCTTGCTAACAGGCATCACAATCCAGTAGCCCCGTCTCCCGAGCTCACTTGGCTGGAGACGGTCAAGAGCGAACATGCTGAGCTGCTTCTCCACTTCGCGAGGCCGCAGCCTCAGGACCCCAGGCAGAGAAAGTATCTGTGAAAGATTGAGAAGACGGCTGACTCCATCTAGACGCCGCAGGCCGCACTGCCGCAGCCACACGACTGTCACAGACACCCCAGGGAAGGTCTCCCCGGGAGTGACCACCAGACCTACCAAAGAAAAGGCCCCAGGGAAGTCTCCCTAAGCCCAAATACCACCCGCACAGAAGCTGGGAAGAGCGCAGGGCAAGTATCACCACGCCCAGAAACACCCAGTAGCTCTGGGCAGATCTCCCCAGAGCCGGGCACAGAAAACCTAGAGAACCAAAGTCCAGGGGGAGAGACCAAAGTCACAGCCACCTGCCCCCCAGAGACACTTGGAAGCCTGGTGTACATCCACCGCTGGAGAAAGCTGTATTGCGCAAATGGCCACGCTTTTCAAGCCAAAGGCTTCAGCAGGTGAGCTCACTGCGCTGTCTGCACAGACCGGGTAGGGGGCCTTGGCCACCAGGTGTATAAGTGCACCCGCTGTAAACTCTCGGTGCACAAGAAGTGCCACCGACTTGTCACAGTTCACTGTGGGCAGCGTTCTCTACCATCAGAGCCCATGGTGCCAGTGGATCCGTCAACCATGGCCTCAGGCCCCGCACAGACAGCGATCCCACATAATCTTTCAGGTCAGGAGGCTTTAGAACAAGTTGATGAAGAGAATGAGGCAGGGAACACTGGGGAAAGTGGCAAAATTTCACCTGGTTTAGGTCTTCAGGACTTTGATTTGCTCAGCGTGATTGGCAGAGGAAGTTATGGGAAAGTCCTATTGGTTCAGCTGAAAAAATCAGGTCGTATGTATGCGATGAAAACAGTGAAAAAAGAGCTTGTCAACACTGACCGGGTAAGGACAGAGAAGCACGTTTTACAGCAGGCATCTGATTGTCCGTTTCTAGTTCGACTGCATTCCTGCTTCCAGATAGAAAGCAGACTGTTCTTTGTTCTAGACTATGTGGATGGGGGAGATCTGATGTTTCACATGCAGCAACAAAGAACACTTCCGGAAGAACATGCCAGGTTTTACTCTGCAGAAATCAGTCTAGCATTCAACTATCTTCATCAGTGAGGGATACTGTACAGAAATTTGAAGTTGGACAATTAATTACTGGACTCAGAAGGGCACATTAAACTCACCGACTACTGCGTTTGTAATGAAGGCTTAGAGCCAGGAGACACGACCAGCACTTTCTGTGGCACTCCTAATTACCTGGCTCCAGAAATTGTAAGAGGGGAAGAGTACGGCTGTGGTGTGGACTGGTGGACTCTTGGAGTGCTGCTGATGTACAAGATGATGGTTGGAGAGTCTCCATTCCATCTTGTTGAGAGCTTTGCTAACCCTTATGAAAACTCAATCAATTATCTCTTACAAGTTATTTTGGAAAGAGACATTTTCATACCTCATTGTCTTGTCTATAAAAGCTGCGAGCGTCCTGGAGCGTTTTCTGAACAGGGACCCAGTAGAACGACTGGGTTGTCATCCTCATAGGGGATTTTCTGATGTTCAGAAACATCCATTCTTTCGCAGTATTAACTGGGGGATGATGGAGCAAAAGCAGGTGGTGCCTTCCTTTAAACCAAATATGTCTGGGGGATTCAGTCTGGACAACTTTGATTCTTAATTTACTAATGAACCTGTCCGGCTCACCCCAGATGATAATGACATCGTGAGGAAGACTGATGGATGTGAATTTGCAGGTTTTGAGTACATCAAAAGTCTAGCCATGTATGAAGAAGAATGGGTCTGATCCTCATTTTTCAAGTGTGCATTGTTATTGCTATTTAATGCACTGAAAAACTTGTCACCACCCTGGATTCAATTAACCATTTCATAATTGTCTGGAAGCTAATTTATATTACTTTTTTGTAGTTATATGTAGATGTAATACTTGCTTTTTATAGTCTATGATATAATAATTGAATTTTTTGGTTGATAGAGTTGCTTTTCAACATTTGACCTAAATAACAATGAGGCAATTACTTGGTAACTTCGCTTGTAAACACATTCCATTTGTTGAGTGGACACAGAATGCCTAATATTTTTCTTATTATTAATGATACAGTAAAATAATTTGTCTTTTAAATAGAATGTCTTACCTATGCTAGTCTCTCTCCCAACTATATTACCTCTTCTTTTGGTGACTAGTGTATGTATTCCTCAGGGAAATCCAAAAAATAATAATGGTTTTTAATAAATCTGCAGAAAATACATGTATTATAGTTCCATCTCCCTAGTTTTTTTTTATTTCATAGGGTAACACATGAAATACATAGCTGAATTCATGTCAAGGGCAAAGTTCTTCACATTGAGATAAAAAGAAAACAACACTGAGATTCCACATCAACCCAGGAAGAATGGCTGCTGTCATGAAATCAACCAATAACAAATGCTGGCAGGGCTGTGTGGAAAGAGGAACCCTGCTCCACTGCTGGTGGTAGTGTAGACTGGTGCAGCCACGGTGGAAAGCAGTATGAAGGCACCTCAAAGAACTAGGATTGGAGGTCCCATTTGACTCAACTATTCCCATACTAGGTATCTTCCCCAAAGAATTAAAAGTTTCATCCCACAGTGATATATGTACACCCATGTTCATAGCAGCACAATTTTTAATAGCTAAAACTTGGAAGCAGCCTAATTGCCCATGAATTGGAGACTAGATAAAGAAAATGTGGTTTTTCTATAACATGGAGTACTATTCAACCATAGAAATGAGATTAGAGATCATGTGTAGCTAAATGGATGCACACAGAGGTGATAATCTTAAGTGAAATAAATAGGACTCATATGTGTAAATACCAAATAGAGAAATACCAAATGAGAAACTGAAAGTGTAAATAAGGACTAAAAGGTATAATAGACAATGTGAATTAGGAAGAAACGGGGCAAAGTGGAAGGGGAAGTAGGAGGGATGGGGGAAAAGAAAGAAGGGAATGGAATTAATATGAGAAAATAAAAAAATGGAAACAAAGTCTTTGTAGATAGGGAGGGATGGAGGGGTTGAAGTGAGGGCAGCGGAATCGGGAAAAAATAAGAACCAAGGTAGATTATGTAAAGGTGTAAATTTCCAATGGTGAACGTCATTATATTGTTCACCTAAAATGTACCATTAAGGTAAGTGGTTCTGGTGCCTACCTCACAAGCGCAAGGACCCAAGTTAGTACCAATAAAATAAAAAATATAAAAAATAAAACATAAAAAGAAACAGGTGACATTAAATCTACTATATCCAAAATATTATAATTAATATTGTGATAGTGTTTTAAGAATATAATATTAATTCTTGAGATATTTTACTTTTATTTTTTCATATAAGCCTTAGAAATTCATTATACATTTTAAACTTATAGCGTATCTCAATTTGGACCAGTCTTATTTCAACTGCTCAGCTGCTGGCATACTTGACAATGCTGTCATTGGTAGGAACAGTAAGTGTGAAATAATGATATGGAAAAAGAAAAGGTATTTAGGAAGAGAAAGTTATCTAGAAAACTGTAATTTCTCTCTCTTGATTAGATGGGAAAAACAATGTGAATTATAAGCAAAAGTCAGGTTTACATTAAATAAGACAATATTAAATGTATATAAGTGTGTACTTGTGTATATGTATACAGACACATGTTATACTCAGCATTTATAACTGGTGAACTAGAAACACAACTAAACGTCAATAAAAATCTAACATCTCCCCCACAAAGGCCGTTGGGCTGCCTATAATAGAATGTAGTCTTTTTCAGAGAACTGATCACTGGTGCTGTCATATCTGTCCATTCCTTGTCTAATATGTAGTCATGTTGTTCTCAGATCTCAGTGATACATGGTCTCCTCACCAGTGTAATAGATTCACTTTGGCACCACCCTTGCCCTTTCTATATCCATGCCTCTCCCCCAGCTAGTTTAATTATTGTTATGAAGCTATGTCTCATAAAACAACACCAGAAATTATTCTATTAAGAGCCTACCTTTCAACATGGCATCCTTCTTTTAACTTCTCCACTTTATTTAAAGCTTGTCATCTCTTTTTTTTTTTTTTTTTGTCATCTCTTTAATAGTGAATGTTCAGTAATGATCAAGGATACAAAGAACTGTTTAATTGCCATTCAGGTTAAAAATCACAAGGCAGTTTATCAGAAGGCCAAAGTGCAGGGCAGGAGTTGGGAAGAGAAAACAGTGGCCAAGGGAATAGATATCTATAAATATATTTTTAAACTATACAGTAATATAACAGCTATGAAATTGAATCTTCTTCCCCAGGGTAAGTAAGTAACAGAGTATCATAGGCTTTGGCAGGCAGAATAACCCCCTTTCCAAGCTGGAAGATATCATCCTTTGATCAAAAACATAAGATCCTTTCATTTTCCTCACTACAGTTGGTGCCTCGATTTCAAAGGCCACTTGCTGTTTCTGATCTGTTATCAGTCAAGCAGACTCAAAACACAGACAGAAAGCCACTTTAGCAAAAGCTGTTATCTCTTTTGTCACAAATGCAGACTTAAGGATCCTATCCTGCTAAAACACTATTACTCAACACAGAAAGGCACAAGAGGCAGAATCTACTGAGTGGAGCAGAGACATCAACTGGAGGTGAAATACAGAAAGTCACCTAACATGGTTACATAAATCCCTTTGTTTCTCAGCCAATTTTCACTCCTAAGATCAGGATTTCCAAAAGGAAAATCCTAGGATATTGCTGGGCAGGTATGATATTACAACTAAAAAGAAACTCAACCGTGTATTTATGTGTTCTCTTATGTAGTGCATGCCAGGCACTGTGCTATCTTTTCAGAGCACAGCAAACCCCACAATCACCTCAGCATGAAGAAAAGAGCCACAGAGAGTTAGACATTTGCTGGTGGCTACTCTTAAGTGGAGGAACATTCAAACCTGTGCTTTTCCTCCCCAAAGCCTAGGCTCTTTTCTGTTTTTTTTTTTTTTTTCTTTTCTTTCCTCTTTTTACTTTTCACTGTTTGTTTGCTTGTTTGTTTTCATCTTCTTTCTCCTACACTACACTGCCTCCATAGAAACAGGAGATTGGCTGTGTTGGTCTATGAACTAGTATAGTCAGAAGGACAAGCCCAACCACACAAACATTTGTTTTCACTTTGTCCTTTCTGCATACATTATAGATATACACCCCCAAAAAATGTTAGACCAAACAAATACAAGGTCCATGAAAACATCTCTGCCTATCCCAATATAAATAATATTTGTCAAAATTTTTTCAATTTGCTAGATTTGTGGCTTATAGATTTTAAACTACAGAGTGATTCACATTCTTAATTTCAGTGAAGCCCACAATTTAATATCCTTCATGTGTTTTGTTTTTATTTTGGAGCATTTAGTATCATTCTTATTATTCATTCACTGCTCTTATTCAACAAAAGATAATTGGGCAAAGGACAAAAAGGCAAAGGACAATTGGAACAGAAGGGCAATTTGAACTGAACCAAGTATGAGCTACCCAGCTGTATTTCAGATTTACACTGTTTCCCCACATTTCCTTGTGTGATATTTAGTCTTGTTCGAGTTTCCTGGTACATAGCTTCTCAACTCCTTAGCATTCTGGATTGAAAATTTCTTTTCTATTACTGAGATGACTGGTGGCTTAGGTCCCTAGATAGCCAAGGGATGGGGGCTTTTGGGAGAACCAGCTAAATGATTAGAGGGTTAGATCTCTGGGGAGGGAGAGGAGTTGAACTTGAGTTGATAAAGCAACCGCCAATTATTTAATCAGTCATGTCTCCGTAACGATGCTTTTATAAAAATTCAGAATAACTGAGTTCAAGGCTGATGAACAAGAACACATCCAGGTGCTGGAGCATGATGAATCCCAACTCCTTGGAAAGTGAAGCTTCTCTACTCCAGATGCTTCTTGACCTCACTCCGCAAATCTTCATCACATTGTTCCTCTGCATTCTCTAAAATGTCTTTTTTAATAATCAGTAAACATGAGTAAAGGGTTTCTCTGATGCTGTGAGCTGGTCTAGCAACTTACCAAATTTGATGAAAGGGTCAAGGAAATCCCAATTTATAGCTAAGTTGTCAGAAGCTGGAACAGGAAGCCATATCATGGGGTAAAAAGGGGGCATTCTTATGGCTCTAAGCCCTCACTCTTCGGAACTGACACTTCCTTCAAATAATGTCAGAAATGAATTGAGTCAAAGAATGCCCTTCTGGTGTCTACCGCAGAATTGCTTGCTTGCATGATCTGTAGAGAAGACCCATACATATTTTCTCAGAAGTGTATTTATTATTGTGTTTTGTGAGTACAGCAGGAGAAAAAACTTTTTCTTCTCACCTTCATGGATTTTTTCCAAGTAAATTCATTTCAGTTTTTTTAACTGTAAAAGTAGTACACACTGTAGAAATATTACTCACTAGATTCTCTGTGTTATGTTTGCTGTGGATTCGTCCACTCCTCTCTCCATGTGCTATACAAATATTTATAATATTTAAAGACTTTCCTATTTTTTATAAAAATAATATACTATATACTCTTTTCAACTATTTGTAATTTGTCATTTAAAAATATACTGTGCACTCCCTTCAGGACAGTACACTTAGATTGTATTTTTTTCTTTTAAGTAGTTATATCATTTTCCTTTTTTTGGTACCAGGGACCAAACTCAGGATCTTGTACTTACAAGACAGATATAGAGTCATTGAGCTAAAGCTCCAGCCCTCTGTTATAATTTTTATCAAACTATGTTTAACTATTTCTCTAGAGATAAACACTGAGAGTGTATTCCAAGTTCTTTGTTGTTGCTATTATTGTTTTAGTAAAAAAACTATTACAACAGGGCTG